TTTCTTTCATTTCTATACCTCTCTTTTTTTTTTTTTTTGCTAAGTATCTAGGTGGCACAGTAGATGCAATGCTATCCTTGGAATCAGAAAGACCTGAATTCAAATTTTGCCTCACGTACTTACTTTGGTCTATGATCCAGGGCAGGTCTCTTAACCACTCTGTGCCTCAGTTTCCTTATCTGTAAAATGGGAGTGATTATCATCTACCTCCCAAGACTTGTTATGAAAATAAAATAAAATGATGTACATAAAGCAACTTCTAAACTTTAAAGTGCTAAAAATGCCAGTTATTATTATTATTATTTCATCAGCTCCCATGGCTTCAATTATCATCTCTAAGCAGATGACTTCCATAAGCTATTATCTCCAGTCACAATCTCTCCCCTACCTCCAGTCCCACATCTCTAGCTGCCCAACTGGACATTCCCACCTGTATGTCTCAAGAGTACCTCAAACTTAACTTCAACATGCCTAAAACTGAATCCTTCATTTTCCCCTCTAAATCCTCCTCTCCTACCAACTCCCTTATTTTTGCTGATGGAATTTAGGGACAAGTCAAAGCTCTGGTGCACTCTAGACAAGGACTGTTACACAATCCTCCTGCAACAGACATTAATTGTTTTTACTGAAATTATACTGCAAGTCAATGGGAAAATATCTTGTTTTGCCAAGATTCCTTTATACCACTTTTCAGGAATATATAGGGAGGGGGCTGGGAAACAGTTTTATCTGCATAAGATCTTCCCCTCCCCCTCCAATTTGCTTTGTAGGCAAAGATAGACTATTTGGAGAGATTTTCCTAGTTTCATTCAGGCAAGAATCAGGATACCATAAATGAAAGAGAAGTGTGTACAAGATCAGGGGGAAAGGAAGCGAAAACACCTAAGTATTTTTTATTTTTTATTTATTTTTTCTTCAGGATTTTTGTTATAAAGTATAATGATCTTGAAGAATTAGATTGATGAGAAATATACAGTTGTGCTTTACAAAAAATTACAGATGCTAAAATCAGTCATCCTGGTTGATGATCAATTTCCACGGTTTTTGTGACCGTTTAAAACCACATATAAAAGATCAAAGACTTAATTCCTGGCTGCCTTACCCTCTGCAGTGGGTTGACTTAGGGGGACTGAGAACTAAACTGAGCGGGGTCTCCTTTGGGGAATGGGGGGAGGTATTCTCTTTCCCAGGAAGATCTGTTACCATGTACCAGGGCATCAGGATTTCAGGTATTTCGTCATTTTCAGTCATGTCTGACTCTTCTTGATCCCATTTGGGGTTTTCTTGGCAGATAGTGGGAGTGGTTTGCCATTTCTTGCTCCAGTTCATTTTACAGAAGAAGAAATGGAGGCAAACAGGGTTAAGCGAGTTGCCCAGGGTCACACAGCCACAAGCATCTGAGGCCAGATTTGAACTCAGGAAGATAAGTCTTGCTGACTCCAGGCCCAGCACTCTATCCACTTCACCACCTAGCAACAGGATTAGATGGTCTTTAAACTAGTGCTCCCCTAGGTACATCCCTGCCCATCAACATTATTGTGCCACCACTGAGAAGGAGGTACAAATTATGAGAACTATACTACTATGAACAATGTATAGGAACACAGTGCCTAGCATAGTGCCTTGTACATAGTAGGTACTAAATAAAAGTTTGTTGTATTGAATTAAAGAGAGTGGAGATGGCTCTGTCAGCACAAAAGGGGGAATTTCATTTGGAATGTTTAGTGTCGGAGCTCTATTATGACATGGAACACTGACAATGTTCCTTTCTCATAGGCCACCCAATCCTACTATTGACTTTCCTTATATTGGGATCCTCATTTACAATACTTAAATCCCAACTCCCAGGCCACTGACATTTTCAGATATTTGTTATGAATTAAGACTAAATCTCTACATCATAGATCTGTACTTCAAAGGGTCAGAGAACACCTAGTTCAATCCCCTGATTTTATAGATGAAGAAAATGAAGACCATGGATAGAAGTGAATTGACTAGGTACAAATGATAAGTGTTAGAGGTGCGATTTGAACCTTGGTCCTCTGTTACTAAAACCAGCTTCAAGCTCAGTGTTGCACTGAATGGGATATGGAGGAGGCCCATTGACACCACCAGCTTGGTAGATTATCAACTTTGTAGAGATATGAAGTTGTTGTGGGGTTCTCTCTCCCTTTTCTCTTTTCTTCTTCAACAGAATTAGTGATAGTTAAACTAGATGTGATAGGCTTATTTGGTTGTACCAAGTCTCATGTGATCCGACTCTAGGATTCCTAAAGAGACATTTTGACATTCTAATATGCTGCCTCAACCCTCTCAACTATCCCAGGGCCAAGGCTTTGACCATAGGGTGATATTCCAGCAAGGAAATGGGTCAGTTAGCTACATGGCCAGACACTTGTAAAGCAAATTTTATCAGATCACAGGGAAAAGCAAGAGTCATGGCAAACTTGTGCCCATGGCATCCTCTATTAGATTTGTTTTCTGGAGGATTTCAAAGTATCAAAAAAGGAGGGGATCCAAAGTCTTGAACTCTAAGGACAGATTAGTTGGGGTGAGGTCTGGGAAATAGGTATCTTTTTCTTGTGTTTGTTCTCATTCTGGAAGGTCATCAATAGGTCCATGATACGTGCCACTGGATGGAGACAACAGCTCTCACATGAAGCACAAACCTGAGCATTGGCTCCATGATAGGGCTGGGAAAGGGAATAGGAGAGATTGGGGATTGGGGTAGAGGATCAGCCAGGGATCCAGGAGACCCCCCAGAACGGCCACCTTAGCTGAAGAGAGGAAGCCTATTCAGTTTGGTTTTGGGTCTCCAGTTTTTGCGGCTGCTTCCTGACAAAGGCACCCAATGGCTTTGTGGTTGGGTAGGGATGGGAGCTGGGATCAGCATTAAGTTTTTTTTTAAGCAAACAGGGTCAGTGAATTATATCAAACAGAACATCTTTTTCCTCTGGAGCTTCAAGGTTCCAGAAGAACTGAATTATTTGTCTCCCTTCCAAGAGGCACAGAGAGGAGAAGAGTTTGGGGGATGTCCTTCAGGGTGTCAGGGGTGTAGTCTGTAGAGTGGGGCAGGCAGAGTTGTTCAGGATCACAGGCCCAAGTCCCATTTCTCTCTTCCTGGAGTGTCTCACTCTGAACTTAGGGAGGCCGCAGAGTCCACATCTTCAGTATCTTGCTCCTGGGGGGATACAGGCTGCCCCCCTTTCACCCGCTTCCATTTCATCCTTCGATTTTGGAACCACACTTTGACCTGGGGAGAAGAAAGGATGAGGACAAATTTAGTGACTCTTAGAGTTGACGTGACTTCTCCCCTATGTCAATGTTTAATCTAGCCCTAAGGGATAGAATAGCTGGTTACCCTAACATGCCCAAAGAGCAGAGATGGAAAAGGGTGTATCATCAATATTTTTGCATGCTTCACTTTCTTCCCTACCAACTATCCCAGAGAACCCAAGGGTCTGCCTGACAAACCTTAAGATCATCTGGGAGACAGGAAGGTAGTACATTCATTAAACAGACAAAGAAGGGCTCAGGGAAAAGAATTTAAAGAAACTGTATATGGGAAAGGGAAGGGGAGGTGTGGTGGAAGAAAAGAGAAAAAGTCAGTGGCATTGAGTAGAAAGAAGGGAGAAAGAAGGAGAGAAGAGGAAGAGAAGAAAAAAGGAGAAGAATGGAATGAAGGAGAGGAGAAGGAAGAGGAAAGAAAAATGGAGGGAAAGGGAAAGGAGGGGAGAGAGGAGGAAAGTGAAGGGAGAGAGAGAGAGGAAGAATGTGGAGGGAAGAGTTAAAGAAGGGATGAGGAGAGGAGAAGAATGGCAATGAGGGGAGAGAAGAGGATAGTGGTGGGAAGGGAAGAGGAGGGATAAGAAGAGAAAGGAAGATAAGTGAAGAGAAGAGGAGAAGAAGAAGAGAGCAAAGAATAGGGAAAAGTAAAGTCCAAAGAGATTCTCACACCTGGCGCTCAGTGAGGTCCAGGTTCACAGCAATCTCATATCTCCTGAGTCTTGTCAGGTAGTTGTGATGGGCAAATTCTGCCTCTAGTTCCCTCAGCTGTTCCTTGGTGAAGGCTGTCCGCTCCTTGCGAGCTTTGCTGCTGGTTTCTGGCTTCCCTCTGCAGTCCTGGTTTTCTGTGGGGTGGAGGAAAGAAAAAAGTATTGAGGTTGTAGAGAAATTGTTAGTCTCAGAAGGAAGATACTAACTGAAGAACCAATAAAAGCTAGCCAGCTCTTCCAGAAGTCACTGTGTCTTTCTTCTGCATCTAGGCAGGACTATTTCTCTCTTTTCCCATTTTAAAAGATCTTCTGGGGAAAAAACACAACCTTTGTTTAATCTCCCTCACCTCTCTAGCATCCCACTTTCAGATGAGTTGGGCAGTTCTTTTTGCTACCTGATCTAAATCCTCTTAATCCCTCCAACTATTTATTCTGTACATATATTACATATAAATGTATATGCATGTATATGAATACATGTGTATATACACATATGTAACCTACATGCACACATATACATTCTATACATATATA